TCTGTATGCATGTATGCTGGCCTATAACTGCTTGCCTGCCTGCATACATGCATGTATGCCGGTTTCCCTGCCTGCATGGCCGCCTGCTTGTTATTAATGCCTACTTGCCTGTTTAAACATCTGTGTGCCCACCCGTATGCATGCTTGCCCGCCTGCCTGCCTACACGTGTGCACTCCGTGATAAACAATTTTTGAATTGGGAAATCTTCACCTTGAAGGGTTGAGCATATGAGAAGGTGGTAGTTGAACAACATTCTTACTGTATCGGTATTTGGTTAAAACGGCTGTTGTTCTTCTTATCTTATAATTATCACTAAGAGATAGTTAAGATGTATGTTCCCACTCTGGGATCCGGGCCTAAGCCTCCCATTAAACAAACTACAGGACATGCTAAAATATTGCAGATTTAAGATTTTTGTTACTAAATATTTATACATGTCATAAACTGGGCTATGTTATCAAATTAGGCTGATCACGCCATACATACTTTTTTGTAGGTCAATAACCCTATTGTACGATGACTCGGCAATAATAGTATAGCTATACTGGAATTAGGATGGCGTTATTCTTGCATGCCGCCCTAACGTGCATTGGCTTAATCAGTTTCCTGCCATTGCCTACATACACTTGCCTCTAGTGCAAGTTGCAGCACGTGGAAGCTATCTCAGAACCAGCAAAATTGTTATTATACAAGATCTAGATATATTAACATCACGACACTGCCTGCCTGCCTGCCTGCCTGCCTGCCCTAACTGCTTCATACCTTAATGCATGGTATACCTGCCTGCCTGCCTGCCTGCCTGCCTGCCTCCTGCGCTGTTCCTTACCTGGCATGCATGTAAGCCTGCATCCTGCCTGCCGCCCTGCCTGACTGCTTGCAATATATACACGTATGCCTGACTCCTGCATATATACACGTCATGGCCCTGACTGCCTGCATACATTGCACGTATGCCTGCCCCCCTGGCCTGCATTGGCTACCTGCTTACATAATAATACCTGCCACCTGCATGTCTGCAAATGCCGGCCTGTTGCCCGTCCGGCCGCGTGCCTGAATGCCTGGCCTTGTCTGAATGTCTGCATGCCTGCATGTATTCCTTCCTGTCTACATGCATGCATGCAGGCCCGCCTATCTGCTGCTTTCTTTACAGTATATATGTTGCCGATCCCTGGCTACCTGCCGTGCCTGCCTAACACATATATGGCTGACTGGTCTGTATGCACAGCCGCGCGGGTCTGATTACTGCATGTATGCTGGCCTAACTGCTTGCCTGCCTGCACACATGCATGTATGCCGGTTTCCCTGCCTGCATGCCCGCCTGCTTGTCCGATTAATTGCCTACTTGCTGTTTAAACAACTGTTGTGCCCACCGTCATGCAGTGCTTGCCGCGCCTGCCTGCCTTACACGTGCTGCACTCCGTGATAAAACATATTTTTGAATTCGGAAATATCTTCAACCTTGAAGGGTTGCAGATATGGAGGAAGGTGGGTTGCAACACGTTCTTACTGTCGTATTTAGTAAACGGTGTTTTCTCTTACTTATAATTATCCACTAGGCAGATAGTAGAGATGTATGTTTACTCTGGATTCACGTGGCCTAGCTCCCATTAAAGCAAAGACTACGGCACATGCTAAAATATGAGATTTAAGATTTTTTACTTAAATATGTTATACATGTCATAAACTGGTAGTTTATCAGAATTAGGTGATCACGCCATACATTACGTTTTTTTAGGTCAATAACCTATTTTACTATGACTCGGCAATGAATAGATAAGCTTTGGAATAGGATGGGTTATCTTGCATGCGCCCTAATCTGCATTGGCTTATCAGTTTCTGCCATTGCCTACATACCACGTGCCTCTAGTGCAAGTTGAGCACGTGAAGCCTATCAGAACCAGCAAAATTGTTATTATCAAATCTAGATATATTTACACACGACATACAGCACGAAACTCTGAATTCACACAAACCAAACACGATGACTATGATAAATTATGTCATTCGGGTGGTTACTTTGACTTGTGTTGTGTTGCCATTATAAGTATTACCTTGGTCTCTAGCTTCACACTGCGGATTCCCTCTTTTTGAGGGCAGGGAGTCAATGGACATCCGTGTTAAAGCGTTTATTCCGACTCCTACTGTTACCAGTACAACACTATTTTAAGAACCAAATTTTACGGAACCAAACATTGCCGACATTTATTACCAGTGATGCCATGGCATCATGAATTAAAAGCTTATAATGACATATCGCGACACAAGACACTGCATCTGCATCGTGATATACGATACATTTTTTACTTGGTTTTACTTATATCTATGTCTAATATTACACACACGCGCACACGCACGCACGCACGAACACGCACGCACGCACGAACACACGCACACGCACAGATACAAACACTGCTCGCATGCATGCAGGCACGCACGCACGCACGCACGTACACGCACACATCGACCATACATAATGCAAATGGTTAAATAGTGCTCAAGTACGGTTACTAGTCCTGTTGTTTAACGTGTCTGTGCCCCTGCATTCTGTCTATATACACTGTAATTTACCGTTTTTACTTAATATTAGTTAACAACAATGTTACACAGTGTATATGAAACAATACTCAACAATTGTTGAAATAATACAGAGTTGTATGTCATACACTGTTATACCCACTTATGATCAGAAAATCGTAAAAATGTCTGTTTGGTGGGATACTCATTGCAGAGAAAATTCAGCTTATAATAGAAAGAATATAGCAGGAGTGAATAATAATAGATTAATAATAGATATTAGTGCATGACGTGACAAATCGTTGAAATCTCATTGGATAACGCAGCAGGCACTATGAAGCGATAGTGCCCGCCTGAGCGGCACTATTGCTTGCGCGACGCATTGTTATTATAACGCATTGTGTTTACACACTATGAGAGCATAGTGCCCCCAACAGCAGGCATTAATAGATAAATAATAGAATAATATCAAGTGATAATATATAAATAGATAATAATAATAGAATAATAATAGATCTATTATTATTCACTCCTGAATATAGTAATTCTAGCTTATAATACAGAAACATCAGCCGTACGCAATACAGAAGCGCTGTAGTAGTTACAGTGGAACCATCTAAAAATGCATACTGCTAATAAGCAATAGATCAATGTAGATGATATATAGAGGTGCATGTGTACTGTAACATTTGTATCAGAAGTAAATAATAGGGAATCCCCTATATTATCTACTTCTGATACAAATGTTGCGCTTGTGTAGGGCAATTCCCTATTATCTACTTCTGATACAAATGTTGCGCTTGTGTAGGGC